ACCACTAGGGCTTGCGGTTGGCCTAAACACCACCTCAATCCTCCCCCGCTCACAAGATCCCTTCTAGCACCAGTTGTCGAAGGGGCACACCAACTTCTGGGCACTACCGGTAGGGATACAGGATGAGAACCACGTGGTTCTTCTTGAACTTTTTTCACCTATTCCTTCACCCTCTCATTAGGAAGGATGAGAGCGGTTTGTAGATACAGTCATGGGTGGTTCGAATGAAAGGAAGGCCCATATTTATAGGCCCAAGGGCAAACCAAATAGCCTAAAACTCCAGAGCCACGTGGCAAATCACGAGGGGACACAGCCAATGTCGGATGCCCGCATGAGAATGGGCAAAATCGAGACTCTCATGAAGGCAAAACCGGTACAACCTCGATGAGACTACTCGGTCCCACCTAGGTCACCAGCCCCGACACGCAGCACACTGACACGGCTAGACCTAACAGTCGCATACCACGTCACTAGGGTAACCTGATAGGGTAGAACGCAATGACCACCTACCGGATTAAAAGCACCAACCCACGAAGGGTCAAGTGACGAAGCTCGCACAAGCCACTACTACGGACCCACGCTCAATATGCATGCCTTTCAGCGCTTTCACGATCACTCCACGATCGCAAAAATGCTCAGGGGCTACTATCGGGGTTATAACCTGGGTGTCTCAGAGCACCAATTAGTTAGTAGGCCACGTGGCCTACAATACACTAGCTGGTGAAGGCTTGAACAACCGAGGCCTAGGCAAGCCAGGCCGGACGCTAGGGCCAGGGACGACCATGATCTCTTCCTCCTACCTTAGCCACACGACGCACAAAAAGCGCACGACCTCGCCCCTGTCATGACCCCTGAAAGAGACGGGGAGAGATTGACCCTGCTAAGTACACCCACTCTGGCGAGGGCAGGCTGAAAGATCCTAATATGGCTAGAGGGGGGTGAATAGCCTATTTAAAAATCTACAAATCAACTAGAGCAATTTGATTAGTATGACAAATAGCGAAATGTAAACTTACTCTAGTTCTACAAGGGTTGCAAGCCACCTATCCAACATTTCTAGTTGCAATGATTACTAGGCACACAACTTGCAATGTTACTACTCACTAAGAGCTCTCAAATATGCTACTCTAAAGAGCTCCACTAGATGAACTTAAACTAACAAAGCAAGCTCTCAATTCTAAATACACTAAAGAGCTTGTCACAACTAGTTTGCAAGAATATAAATAAGTGAGTAGGGTGATTATACAATCGTGTAGAGGAGTGAACCAATCACAATATGAATACTAAATCAATCACCAGGAGAATTTCAAAGGGCAAGAGACAACCTATTTTTCTCCCGAGGTTCACGTGCTTGCCGGCACGCTAGTCCCCGTTGTGTCAACCAACACTTGGTGGTTCGGCGGCTAAGAGGTGTTGCACGAACCTCGTCCACACGATAGGACACCGCAAGAACCTACCCACAAGTGAGGTAACTCAATGACACGAGCAATCCACTAGAGTTACCTTTCGGCGCTTCACCGGGGAAGGCACAAGACCCCTCACAATTACCACGATCGGAGCCGGAGACAATCACCAACCTCCGCTCAACGATCCTTGCTGCTCCAAGCCATCTAGGTGGCGGCAACCACCAAGAGTAACAAGTGAGTCCCGCAGCGAAACATGAATGCCAAGTGCCTCTAGATGCAACCACTCAAGCAATGCACTTGGATTCTCTCTCAATCTCACAATGATGATGGATCAATGATGGAGATGAGTGGGAGGGCTTTGGCTAAGCTCACAAGGTTGCTATGTCAATGAAAATAGCCAAGAGAGTGAGCTTGAGCCGGCCATGGGGCTTAAATAGAGGCCCCCATGAAATAGAGTCATTGTACCCCTTCACTGGGCACAACGCTGGGGTGACCGAACGCTCCGGTCATATTGACCGGATGCAGGACCCCAGTGTCCGGTCCTTAGATCTTCGCCACGTGTCATCGGCTTCAAACACCGATCGTCCGATCTCAACGGTCAAGAGATGACCGGACGCGTCATTTAGAAAGTGACCGGACGCTGGACCCCAGCGTCCGGTCGTTTCTAGTAAGGTTCCAAACGCGAGATTTCACGACCGGACGCGTCCGATCATGCCCGATCGGACTCACCTCAGTGTCCGGTCACACAACGTCTCCTCTGTGCGCCTCACTTCAGCGTACGTCAGCACTGACCGGACGTACCCTGCCAACGTTCGGTCACTTTTAGTGCCAGCGTCCGATCGAAGACCGAAACACGCGCCCTCTGCTGCCACTGACCGGACGCTCCGATCCAATCGAGACCAGCCTCTCGGTCACATACAGTGACCTTCGTCTTTTCTGTCTAGGGCGCCGGAGGCACCGTCGGACTGTCCGCACTCTACGGGCGGACACTCCACCGGTGAAGTTTCCTACCCTTACTCAAAATGTGCTAACCACCAAGTGTATCACCTTGTGCACATGTGTTAGCATACTTTCACAAACATTTTAAGTGTGTTAGCACTCCACTAGATCCTAAATGCATATGCAATGAGTTAGAGCATCTAGTGGCACTTTGATAATCGTATTTCAATATGAGTTTCACCCCTCTTAATAGTACGGCTATCGATCCTAAATGTGATCACACTCGCTAAGTGTCTTGATCACTAAAACAAAATAGCTCCTACAATTTATACCTTTGCCTTGAGCCTTTTGTTTTTCTCTTTCTTCTTTTCCAAGTTTAAGCATTTGATCATCACCATGCCATCACGATCGTCATGATCTTCGCCATTGCTTCATCACTTGGAGTAGTGCTACCTATCTCATAATCACTTTGATAAACTAGGTTAGCACTTAGGGTTTCATCAATTAACCAAAACCAAACTAGAGCTTTTACAGGCACGCCTCACTGACCCTCGGTCCGGTCAGATGCCAGCCCTGCACCACCAAGGTCGGACATGACAACACCGCCCCGAGGCGGTGACGACAGGCACGACAACCACCGGCCAGATATAGCCCGACAAGACGCATGTATGATCTCACCCACTACGGGATGGGATCCATGATGGGGGCCTTGACTTAGAGGCCACCTGGGCCAGTGAGAGTCGTGACCCCAACGATCGAGATCATGGCCTTCAGCTGCTCAAGATGACCAGCCGATCGATGACCTAATGGCGGCTACCAACTCACGTACCGCGCCCCAAAAAACTAGGAGACAAGGACAAAGACCATGATAGAGGTCATATCGCATAGAACAGCTGGCGAACTACCATCGTGCCTACAATGCCACCACTGCCGGCACAGTAGGCACCATGCCACACCCTACTGCGATGTGGCCACAAGACGATAACGATAGCCACGCCCGGACGAGCTCCACAAGATGACGTAGCTTGCAAGCCAAGTTAGCTAGGACCTCCCTCAGGCTGATGACCCTTCGGTTGGGAGAACCTCCTGCTTTGTATGCGCCCTGATCCCGAACTCTATATAAGAGCAGTCAGGGCACCCTCTCCATACATTCTGAATCCCTTACTCATTCACTCATCCTCCATCGTAGCAGGGCTCCTAAAGCTTCCCTTTGGGCAGCCCATCGCCTAGTTTAGGTACTCCTACCTCTTCCACCATTCTTGCACCCTCCATTGTAAGAACTTCAGAGCATTCAAGCGAGAAACATGCACTCGATCATCTCTGAGACTAGACGTAGGGTCTCGGCCTGAACCAGTATAAATCCTCATGTCTTTTGGATACTACCATCGTCTTTCTGAAGCAGCGTGGCAATCATATAAGTTTATTAGTCTGGTTTATAAAACACCGACACTACACAAATACTCTAATTTATAAGAATTAAATGCTAATTTAAATTAATTTTAGCTCTAATAATAAGTATCCTCAACTAATCCAAACATGCTCAATATCTGATTAAAAAACCCGTTGGTGGTACGTTTTTAGGTGGAACTGCCATCTCTATCCGAAAACCGATTAGGCTCTATTTTGGGCATGCACTATTGCACGTACTTTTGTCTAGGGTCGTTGGAAGCCTACAACCTATTCGTTTTGCCGTGGCTTATCGTAAACGATCGTAAATTTTCAGTCAGAATAATATTTTTCTCTTACACAAAACAGCCAGCAGTACTTTTTCACGAACCAGCAACGAAACGAACCAGCCAACCGAAGAGGCTACTAAATGTTCGCTTTAAATTCTCATATTTTCAAATTTGTCTTTTTAAAATTTTGAAACAATAAAACTTTGGATCTCTAAATGATCTTAAATTAAAAAAAAAATAAGTTATAGATCATGTTGAGAGCTACAACTTTAGTCGAGACCACATCATTATGTGAGAACTTAAAACGAATTTTGGGCTTCTAAACAATCCCATAAAAAGTTATCAACTACAAAGTTGTAGGTCTTACTAAAAAAACAAAATATATTTTTTGTATATACTATGTCAAACATCCAAGGTCATTTGAAAAAGCTAAAATTTTGAATTTTAGAATGTGGTGACTTAAAATAAATATTTGGATCTCTAAATGTATTAAAAAATTATCAGCTACAAAAGCTATAAATCATATCAAGCTCTACAATTATAATATAAAATTTGTATTTATATGCATATGACTTCATATGGAAAATTATATTCTTTTTATATAAGAGAAAGCGAGATACCAAATGACAAGTGGAGCCTACTACTACATCAGCAAAACCATCTAAGAAACCATTTTAAAATAGTCAAAAGATAATTTGTCCGGGTTTAAAACCTACGAAGCGTATATATTGTCCGGTATTAAAGCCAGTCTGAATTTTTTTTTTTTAATTTTGGATGCAAATGTGCATTCCGTTGCTAAATCACACCCAAAAGAACAGAAAAAAAAAAAGAAAGGAAGAAAGAAAAATGAATCTCAGATCCCGACGATCAACCACTACACAGTAGCAATAGCAAGTCGCGCAGCTCCTCCATCCTCCGTTTATCCCCCCACCTTCCCCTTCGTCTTCTCCAGCGCACCTACCCTTCCGCCGCCTCAGCTATGGCGGCGCCGAGCTGGATCCGGCTCCGGCCGCCGCGTGCAACCCTCCTCATCCTGCTGCTCCTCGCCCTCAACATCTCCCTCTCCTTTGCCGCCAACTTCGAGGGCTTCGACTCCGACGACCTTCCCTCCGCGGCCGGTGGCCTCGATGCTGACGATGACGAGGAGGGGCTGGACCGCGTCGACCTCCCGCCCCCTCCGCCCATCTCCCTCTCCACCTCCGCGCCTTCACCTCCCGTCACGACGACGTCCGCGCCGAACCCTAACCCCGCTACGCCTGCGACTCGGGACCCCACCCCGGCGCTCGACCTCTGGGACGAGGATGAGTTCGAGGGCATCCCCGTGCCGGAAGCGATCCCCTCCGACGACTCCGCCGCGCCAGCCGAGGCCGACACGTCAGATCCCTCCGCGGAGGCACCGGCCGAGGCGGCGCCGGCCGCGAAGAGGAGCCCGGCTGAGCTCCTCCGCGCGTTCTCCGTCGAGATCGCGTGCGTCAGCTTCCTGATCTGCTTCGTGCTCAACTACTTCACTGGGAAGCGGCAAAACGAGAACATCGCGCTGGCCTGGGCCACCAAGTTCGCCACCAGGGACTCCATCTTCGACAAGAACTTCAGCCTTCTTGGCACAGGCGACGGCAAGGACACGCCGCTCCTGCTCAAGGAGGGGCAGGACGTGTTCAAGTTCTATGCCAGTGGGAGACGCTTCTGCCAGGGCATGCTCGCCACCATGGAGATGCGGGCGCGGCACGACCTGCTGTCAAAGTTCGTGGAGCTGGTCTTCCCTAGGAAGGACACCATCACGTTCGAGGTGGTAATGAACGAAGAGGCCATGGACCATGTGATTCTGGCTGTGGCCAGGAAGAAGGCGGCCAAGACGATGCAGAAAGAGGAGAGGGATCTGCAAAGGTTTGCCAACGTTCTCACTTCGGCACCTGCTGGGAGGAAGTGGGTGTCGGATGAGCTTGCTGTGGTGGCCGAGTCTAAGGAGGTTGCTGGGGATATGATCACTGAGGCTGTGCTTGATCAGGTGAGAGTGAACTACAGAATTTTGGTTTTGTGGATTCACTAAAGTAAATGCTTCATTTGGATAAGATTATTAACTTAAATATAATTCAGAAGGAGAACTACTGAAATTTGTGTGGTTTGAGGTAGGCTCACATTTTTTTGAACTTGTGCTTTTAAAAGCTGACATTAGAGAACAGAGAAGTATGCTTGATTGCTTGTATTCAAACTAAAGTTTTGCATTTTGAATTGCAAACTGAGCTCAGCTTGTTGCTTTGATGGAAAGCTTATCAACAGTAGTTCCTACTGTCCATGGCATAAGTTATTTTGTTATTGTTCTTTATAGGTAGTATTTTGTTTATAGTAGGCGATGGGATACCATGAAGTTATGAAATGGATAGCCTTTTTAAATTATGGAATTGTATAAATGCAGATGTGCAGTAGCATGTTGGTAGATTTTAACTACCTTTTATTGAATTTGAAACATTTCATGTTTCTCTCTCCTGAATTTCTTCATTCTTAGAGATTTATTTTTGTCTTTGATATTTTCTTGCTCTGCCACCTTTTGGACATTGATGAAAGCCTGGTCTGAACAAGGAAAGAACGTACTTGGACATTTGCTGTTACTTCCATAATCAAGTTCATTCATGCTAGAGATTTTTAATGATTGAAGTAGCTTCAGTTTCTTGGGCGTGTTTGGATGCAGCCCTGGCCTAGGAGCACCGGCCAGGCAAGCACATCTGACCCCAGGCGCTCGAAATCGAACACCTGGGAGCGATGCCTGGCTCAGGCAGCTTTCCCACACTGCCATCCAAACAGGCCCTGATATAATATATAAAGCAGTTTTGAGATCAGTGGTATTGCCTGTGAGATGATTGGATTTTGGCAAGGTCCAATTTAGGTTATCCTGAAATCTGTTGTTAGCTAGATTAGATCTGCGGTGCTTATTGTAAAACAGTAAGTATGTCTGATAAGATAAGGCCAATGTCTGTTTCTAAACATTATGAATCATTTACTGGAACTTTCATCTTGATCTTTTGGGTTAGGACTTAAATGGGATTAACTAGGACCAAAAGAAATCTATTCAGTTGGACTTGGACACTGTCTTAAGACCAAGGACCTAAGCTTAAGCTAGGTTGAATGGATCAATACGCCAATGCGACTGACTTAGTTTATCTTGTATATAGTGTGCCTTACCCTGCTTCTAATGATTCTTTCGTCTCCAGGTTCTTGGTGAGAAGGCATTTGAGAATTTCGGAAAGTGGTTCATCTCACTTCATCTTTCAGACCAGTTGGCAGGATCCTACAAGAAGGTCCTTACATTCAAGTTTGTATTGCCAGATGCAAGCAACATGTCAGAGATGACAAGATTGGTTGCTCTTGTGCCATACTACATTGATTTGGTTGGGCGTTATAAGCTCAGCTCTCATGTGAGTATCCATTTTTTCTCTTCGTAGAGCTCATCATCATGTTCCAATTATATGTCTAAAGTTTTCTGTCTATGTTGTTTGTAGGCTCGCTCAAAAACTGATGGAGCTAGAACAAAGGCCGCTCAGGAGGCTTTCAAGGAAATGCAGAGTGCCAGGCAGGAGGCCCTGCAAAGGAAAAAGGCTGAAAAGAAGAAACTCATGGAGGAGGCAGATGCCAAACTAAGCGCTGAGGCACTCCGGAAGAAAGAGGAAAAGGAAAGGGCTCGGCAAATGAAGAAGTCTGGGCCCAAAGTGAAGATGCTCCGCTCTTAATAACGTCAAGATTCAAGAATCTAGCATAGCTTGGCTTTTGCTATTCACTTGTTGATTAGCATATAGTTCAGTTTCTGCTAGACTCATTTATATTCCAATTTGGGGCCACCATGGTTTCCCCTTGTGAGAATGAGCAAAAAAGATCGAGGAGAAAAGAATCCTCACTGGCGTTTCGGCTTTTTCTTGGATGTGTGCCAGAAATATCTGTAGCCTAATTCGCCCACGCAACTTCTTTGAAAAACTGGTTATGCAAGAGCTGTGTTGTATGAGAAATAGAACTTACATGATTCACTGTGTAAAATGGTGATAGAACTATGATATGAAATTCTATGCTCGGATTACATGCTTTCAGGTTTTAGCAACGTTGATTAGCATCCATTGCTGTTGTTTGTAATGTTTTTGTTCCTTTTTTTTCTCACTCATGTTGGGACTTAAAGAGTACAGTGATGTTACAGCCTTTCCGATATCTGGAATCCTGGGAGTGAAGTGCTGGATTGAAGTTTGATGGTGCTGTCCAATTGTGTGTGTTTTAGATAGATGTTCAACTGCGATTGTTTTTGTGACGCGTGCATGAAATTTCTGAGGAGAAATCCTGACTGATGCTTGGGTGAGTTTAAGGGCCTGTTCGCTTGAACTTATCAGTTAAAATCTATAGTATTTTTTTCTCACAACAAATCAGCTTCAGCCGGCTCTGAATTTCCTATAAAATTCCAGGGAAATTTAGAAAGCGATCAATTGTTCAGACTTGGATCAACTTTCCAGGACACATATTTCCTATAAAAAGGATATTCAGACTAGAGTGTGTATGAATTTTACTCTTTTTACTCTCTTTTTTTGTCTAGAAAGGGAAATTTGCTGGTATATGACGAACTTTCCCCTGATTTTCCTATACAATTGGGAAAAACATCTAATTTTCCTATTCATTTGGAAAAACGGAGTCGAGCCAACAAAACCAGTTTTTGGTGTTAAAGCGTGAATGTAAATGAACAAGATTTAGGAGAACTGTTGTTTTCATTGATCTTGAAAATATATTTATACAAGTGAAGGGGTGTCACGAAGAGACACGACTGTTCTCAAAAGACATGCCCTTTAGAACAAAATTAACTGTCTAATCCTATCCACTAATCATGTGCTTGATGGATGAGATCACTTGTGAAGAGACGTCTGTTCGTCTATAGACGTCCGTTCGCGTATAGGTGTCGTTTCACAACACTCTCCCTTGATCGAATCTTCCTTGAGATCAATGCAACTGTAAGCTGAAATTCCTCGAAAAACCCTATGGGAAAAATCTGAGGAATATATAATATGTCATAAAAACTCCTTTAAACCTTATTGGAAAATAAGGAGAAAATACCATATTTATTTGTGATTTAAATAAACCACTGTCATCGGTATCCCATTAAAAACCCTAATAGGGAAAAATATTGGAGATACGACATAAAGATAACTCCCCCAAAAACCTTTCAGGAAAAATATGAGAAGCAATATAAAATGATATGTCGCTAAAACTCCTGTAAAAACCCAGTGGGAAAATTAGGAGAAAATATGACGACATATTATTGGTATTGCCTCTTGGATAACTTACATGAAAAACCTTTTTAGGGAAAAACCATGAATGAGTTGTGAGGGCAATATGTGTCTTTGATATTTTCCACAAAAACCCCGGTGGGGAAAATAGAAAATATGACACATGCTTAGGTTAATATTACCTCATTAAAAACTTTAACAAGAAATCTTGTAAGTAAAACTTGTGAAAGAAAATAGTATAATATGATGCTGGTATAGGTCAACATTTAGGAGATGTCTCCCCCTAATTCTGGCAAATCTCGAAGTCGCCGCATACCAATTCCATGCACCAATTTTGAAACACAGAAGTTGGTAAGGACTTAGTAAATAGGTCAGCGAGATTATCACATGACTTGATTTGCAAGATGTTTATTTTCCCGCTTTCTTGTAACTTATGGGGATAAAATAGCTTAGGGGCAATGTCCTTAGCGACATTACTCTTTATGTAACATATTTGCATCTATGTAACATAAGCGGAATTATCTTTATAGATAATTATAGGTGATTTAATCGAACCAATACCACATGCCTGTTGTATGTGGTTAATTATTCTGCGAAGTCATACACATTCATGTGATGCCTCGTATAGAGCAATAATTTTAGAATGATTAGTAGAGGTCGTCGTCAGAGTCTGTTTAGAAGACTTCATAAAATAGCTGTACCTCCATGTAAGAATACAAATCCAGTTTAGGATGGGGACCAGATAAGTAACCAGCATCCATGTATCCAATCATATTGGGATCATGATTTCTCTTAAAGAATAAACCAAGATTCTTTGTGCCACTAAGATATCTGAGGATATGCTTCGCTCCCGTCTAATGACGGTGAGTTGGATTTGCACGATGTCTAACTAGTATGTTCACTGCAAATGAGATATCAGGCCTGGTGTAATTTATAAGATACATAAGTGCTCCAATGACACTAAGATATGGAACCTTAGTCCCAATATTTTTTCTCCAATATTTTCTGGATATAGGCTGATTGATGCACTAAAATCTCTAAAGGACGGTGCTCAAGTTGTAAGCCTAGACAACATTTGGTCTTACCCAAATCCTCCATCTCGAATCCATATGATGGAAATTGTATCTCAAATGATTGCATAATTATTTCTGTATCATGATGATATCAAAATAACCAATATACACAATCATGCTTAATTATACACAATGTATGTTGCGATTTGTATTTAGATTCAGAATATAAAGTCCATTGGGACTTGTACGTCCGAATCTATCAAATTCATTTGATCTGCCAATTATTGAATTTGAAAAACTTCATTTTCATACATACCATGGGGTATGCTATGCTATGCTGGGTCTCTGCGTGAAACCATATGCTACAAGCTCTCATTGTTTACCACCTTGCTTCTGAAAAGAAACTCTGTTAGAGAAGATATTACTGTGGTAATACTTCTCATCATTGAACAAGAGCAATCTCTTTAATTGCCACCTTTTAGTTTGACCAAATTTGAGTATGAAGACACTCTGCCTAGGACTTTTGGTCTGGATCCAATAAGGTAAAAAAGCAATCTCTGAGGAGTATATGCCGCGATAATTTATAGTCTTTAAATGATTGATTCGGTTCTTGAAATCAATATAGCATGTGAAAATGTTAATCCTTTTGGACTCCGAGTCATTTTCCATATGGAGTTAGGGTGTTCCAATGTCCCAGGATCAGAATTTGGGTGCACCGTTGATCCGGGTGGATTTTGATCCGGGTCTTGGATGCTCATCCATTTTGGGTGTCTACCAACTTAAGGTTGGCTTGGATTTACTTATTTGGAGAATATTGTCCTTGGTATCCTCGGACGCTTACTTGGAGCATTATCCTTAGGAGCGGCCGTATTTCTCCCTCTCTTCTTTGGAAGTGGGAGTTGAATGGTTTTAATTGGTACCTCCATTCTTTCGGGCGCATTATAAGTAGGATAAGAGGATTTTGTGACACCCTTATTATCAGTAAATGTTTCTGGCAGATTCTTTGCAATATGATGCAAATATAAGACATTCTAGAATTTTTGGTACGTGCATGTGAGGATTGCTCTTTTGATTCCTGACATTCTTAATGTGGTATAAATCTCCCCCTAATGCTTGGAATTATCCTCAAATGTGATCAACATACGGGCAATTTATAAATCCACTGCAGAGTTACCTCTTGGGATCCCTAATGCCCATTGGTATGTTGGGGTGGTGATATGGGTATATAAAAACATACTTGATGCGCAAATGGAAAACGTTTGGCTGTGGCCAAAGTTTCACGTACATACTGCAACGGAGGGAGTTGTATAAGTGCAGCTTGATGAATTTAAATTAACGATGCGGTGTGTAAGGCCGCATGAAAACAACTTAGTTCTGGTAAATTATAATTCTATTTTAATATGTCATGCAATTTGATTCTCAATAAGAGACTCAATAAAACCATTATTGGTATGGACATAAGTACTTGATATATAATACCCAAAAACCAAACTGTTCCATATAAAATAGATTTGATCCCGCATCTAGGATAATTTGTTCTAAATTGAAGATTTTGAGCAATGAGTTTGGTATAGTGATGTTTCTCATGACTAAGAGACACACTTGGGACTATATTATGGATGCATAAATGTGTATTACATAGTATCTTTATGGTCCATAAAATGGTAAATAGAGTCATATGTTTGTTCTTGAATTTCTTCAAGAAATGTAGTGGCTCATATTGATGCTATGACCAATAGAATTGACAATAATTCTCCAGTTATCTCTATACTTCAATAACCAAGGCAAATGTGCCAAGTCTTATTGACATCAAGAGAGAGAATTATTTGTACGCAACATTGGATACATGTTATGTATATTTAGTCAAATCCAACTGAGGATGTTTTGTTTAAGTATTGACATATCCGTTGTTAAGAGAAAAATACTCATCGTAGTTGTCATCTTGGGATTTCCATATGAAAACCACATTGACGGATATCTCTATAATTTTAATTGGGTACATTATGGAATCAGAATACAAGAATGAATTTATGATTATTATTTGAGTACTAATAGGGAGTATGATAGTAGCACGACCAACGCCCACTATCATGACATCACGTCAAGCGATTAACAAAATATTTCCTTGTCTCTATGTAAGAGTTTAGGAATATTTTGCTTTCCTATATATAGAGTTTGTGGTGCAACTATCCACTAGGCAAAATTTCTCTTTGTATTTGGATTGACTCCCGTATAAGTCTATATATAGCATGAAGAATATAATGACATTCTTTGCAAATATATAGATTACATACAAGTTAATTAATGGAATATCAAATGTGATGGCACATTATTATGATATTCAATTGAAATTGATGACAACATTTTATATTACAACACCAAAATAGGACGAAGATACTAGGTATCTTTGTAAATGGAAGACAAATTTGGTCTCCAAAATGGATCAAGCGAAGTAAATTCGATGATCGTGCTCTCCATGCTCATAAGACCCACTTATTAATTAAGTGTTTGGTTGCTACTTGGTTTTTTCATGAAACTTGTTGTGAACAACTGGCCTTCCTGGTGGTGTCAGGTTGAAGATAGAAGCATGCTTCATATCTTTATTGTTGAGCCGGATATTTATGTCCAATGGATTTGTAATACCGATCAAATAAATATTTTAAGGCATGACATTTTCAAGTTGTGTGGCTATAACATACACAATTGGGACAAAATATGGTTCTATCATATTTGGGAAATGCATTGACCCTAAAGAATGCACGGGGCTGCTACTTTTTGTGTTAAATCTTACCATTAAAGTTCTATGGATGGCATTATGACATGGCATCGAACTTGTTATGATGCTGAAAATTCAATGTACTTCAGATGATAGAGCATCACTATAATACTAATGATGATTACTCGATAAGAGTTTATCATACACTTAGACCTGAAGTAATGTAGGAATTAATCTAGAATACATTTGGTAAGTAGTGTGCTTTCACGAAAACGCAATGTTGGGGGATATTTTGGAACAATATAATTATATTCTCAAGTGGATTTAAGATCCTAGAGATAAAGTTGTGGCCAATCATAGTTGGCATTGAGCAGAATAACTGCCTTGTGTTGTTCGTATCACTCATTAAAAGCTAGCCATATAGTGCTTCGATTTGCACCCATTGAGATACACATACGTGTGACCTAAATGTATATGGTGCTTTATTTAAATAAAACTCCATATTTAAATTGATCATAAGTGGTGATGCTCTCTTATGAGGAGGATCAAATATTGCCATGAATCCATAGAACATCAAGTTTAACATTACGTCCATTGACCATGTTAGATAATGGTGACCATCAAGAGCAAGAGATCAAACTCTTTGCTGGATATTATTCTAACAAGGTTTAAACCATAGATTTTCTAAATTTACGCTAAGGATAAATTTAAAATTGTTATGGTGGTGCTGTATTAATTAATGCAAAATAAATAGGAGACAAGATCTATCTCACTAATAGTGTAAACCTCATTTATACTAACATATTAGAGGTAGTCATCATAAAGATGTAGACCTGTAATAATATGGACATAGTTTGTTGAACAGTAGATGCCAAATGGTGTATGCAATTTGTATAAACACAATTTAAGGTAATTATCAAAAGATTGATATAGACCTTAGTTAATCCGTAAACGAATTGGATACGCACGTTGAGGATAGTCACTAAGTTGTGGACTTAGTGTAGATCCCGCAGTAGCAACTATGGTGCTACCTTGTGTATGACCAATAGAAATGCTAATTAATGGTAGTCATCTTGTGAAAAGATGTAGACTGTATGTTCCAATTTATGATGTTGGGTACGCACATTGAGGATAGTCACTAATAATTTAGTGTAGATCCCACAGTAGCTACTATGGCGCTATCTTGTGTATGGCCAACATACAATGTGGAATATTTGTGTTATACAAATAATGAGGTAATACACTTAATTGATTTTGTATTATAAAAAAATGTAAGCTCTATAAGCTTTAAATAAAGCATAAATGGGCTTAACATAAAATGAAAATTGCAAATAACAAATTAGTTGCAATGAAAACATCGTGATAATAATACTACATGTTTATTGGGTTTGCCATTTTGGACAAACACTTTGAACAATATAATGATTATACTACATATTTATTAGGTTTGCCAATTTAGACAAATACTTTGAACATGCAATGTTAATATCACATGTTTATTGGGTTTGCTAATTTGAACAAACGCTTTGAACAGTACTAAAAAAATTCTAGAAAACATAGGGTCTGGAAAGAGAATTTATAGTGGTAAATTCATCTGTAACAGTACATGTCATGATGCAATTCTTGATGACACATGGATCTAAAAAATACTTATTTACAGGAGGTAAATATTATGCATCATAATGCATTTTAAATCTAAAGTGTAAAATGAGCATTTAATATAGTACACCGCATTATGTTAAAATTAGAGGGCTTAAACATAAATCTAAAATACATCAATAATCTATTAGGATTATCATGTACTTCATAGGAGAAAGAAAGATTTTTATGAAAAACTTTTATGAAAAACGCACATCCTTATCCTTTCCCAGGGTTGGCACGGACGGTTTCTAGTGGGAAATCGTCACTCAGCCTCTCGGGCCTGCCGTGAGAGCGCCGCCGCCGTTTAGGCTCCTTAGCCAGTCACGAGTGTGGGTCGCTGGCCACGGCGCAAAGGCACAGGCCGGCCGCGAGTGTGGGGCCCGCGTGCCGCGGGCGTGCCCGGCCGTGGGGCCACTGCCGCGGGCGCACTGGCTGCGGGGCCGCCGAGTGCAGGCACGAGGGCCGTACGATCGGCACCATGGGGAGCAGCCGGCCGCTTCCGCTGGTCGCGGGCACCAAGTCCCGCCAGGCCGCCTGCCGCGAAGACGAAGCCACCGGCCGCGGGCACAAGGCCGCGCGGGAGGCCGTCTCCGGGCAGATGCAGGGGGCACCGGCCGCGGCGCGGGGCCACGGTGCGCGCGGAGGCCGCACGGGGCCATGCCAAGGAAGCCGCTGGTCGTGGAGTTGCTAACCACGGGCGCTGCCAGTCTAGCGTTCAGCCGCGCGGGCACTCCATCGATGGGGAGGCCGTCGTCCGTCGATTGGAATGGACTACAGCAGCCGCCAACCGTGCGTTGTCCTCGCCAACACCTTCCACATGCCAGCAGTCCGGCACAGCAGGCGAAGCCTCATCGAAGGAGGAGGAGAACGCGGTGGCCGGGGACGAAGGAAAAACAAAGTCTTTAACTGCAAAGCAAGGTAAGAGGATGATGAATTGACGAAAGACCTGATCCAGCCTTACAGCCTTTGTGTCCAGATGCATTTTTCTTCATTCTTCACCGAAGATCCCATCATGGACATCTTTTCTTCTTCTTCTTTCATCGGTGTGAAAAACACCATCGCCTGTTCTTGTTCATGACAGAGACTGGCGGTCTCCAGTTCTTGCATGTTCTCCTTTTCTCCAGGGAAGAACTTGGAGGATTTAATGCCGGCGATCTTGTTCTCGTAGAGCACAGTGCTGATAACGTGTTAAAGCGTGAATGTAAATGAACAAGATTTAAGATAACTGTTGTTTTTATTGATCTTCGAAATATATTTATATAAGTGAAGGAGTATCACGAAGAGACACAACTATTCTCAAAAGATATATCATTTACAATAAAATTAACTGTCTAATTATATCTACTAATTCTATGTTTGATGAATAAAATCACTTATGAAGAGGCGACTATTCATCTCTATATGCCCGTTCGTACAGGTGTCATTTCACAGCATCTGCCACCAACCCAGCAGAGCAGGCGCAGCCAGGAGCCAGCGGCCCAGCACTAGTCTCCGGCGGCGACCCACCTACCACCCCACCTTCCCCTTCCCAAGCGGAGCAGTATAACCCAGTAGCCCAACAACCTCGCAGAACCGCGCCACCAGCCAACGAGCAAGAGCCCGCAGCCGGAGCTCCAATGGCATCCTTCTCCTCCCTCTCTGCCCCCTCCTCCTCCACCTCCACCCCGTCCATCAACCTCCCCACAAAAACCTCCCCTGGCACAAGCTCCCTGTCATTCCCCAGGTGAGCGCCTGACCGGCAGCAGTCTGCCAACCTTCTTTCCCGCGTCGTCGGCGCCCGTCGGTAAAGGCTGCTCGTGTCTTTGATTCGCAGGGCCAGAGAGTCGCTGAAGTCCAGGGCCAGGATGGTGACGGTGCGGGCGGAGGTGGTTGACACGACCATCAGCCCGCGGGTGAGCGCGCTCAGGCCGTCCAAGACCATGGCCATCACCGACCAGGCCACGGCGCTGCGGCAGGCCGGCGTGCCAGTCATCGGACTCGCCGCCGGGGAGCCCGACTTCGACACGCCGGCCGTGATCGCCGAGGTGAGAACTGACAACTGAGAGCGGCCTTCTTAATTGGTTGGTTTGCGAAGGGAAGGGGCCAGGGGAAAAAGAGAGGGGAAGAAAAATAGGAACAGATGTCTTATTAGTTTGGATCTTGGTGCAATGTGTATCCTCCTGGTGTTAGGTGAAAGTGCTAGCCAGCTTAATTGCAAATACCTTCACGATGAATTTGTTTCGCCGATTCATGTAACAATATTTTCGTTTGGATCATAGCAACTCTGAATCTCATGGCAGAGCTCAGAGCAATGTATTTTGTTGACATTAGTAGCAGCTGTAGGAAGTTAGGTTGAATATCTTTCGTTGTTGCTTGGGTCCAGGCTGGGATGAATGCCATCAGAGATGGGGCTACAAGATACACGCCTAATGCCGGAACTCTGGAGCTGAGGAAGGCTATCTGCAAAAAGCTTGAGGGTGGGTGCCGACTGATTCCTCGTTCCCTGATTTGTCAGATTGGTTAAGAAGAAATTTAACGACTAATGTTGGCTTTTGATATGCAGAGGAGAATGGTCTATCGTACACCCCCGATCAGGTGCTAGTAAGCAATGGAGCCAAGCAGTGCATTACACAAGCAGTTCTTGCTGTCTGCTCACCTGGTGATGAAGTAAAGCTCTCAGCTCTCTAAGTAGTTCTTTAGGAGGAATTTTCTTAAATATTGCTCCATGTCAAGTGTTTAGGTATCCATGATAAGAGCAGCATATGCTTATCTTTGCAGATAATTAATTATTATTTGGACACATCCTTACTTTTGATACTGCAATTCTACAACCTAGCTAATTGCTTCAATTTTGGAATGTTCAAAATTCTGAGGGTCCATGCTCTGTATCTGGTTTCCCCTAGTGCAAAAGAAGTTATTCCCATAATTTGAGAATTCTGCCAATTCCAAGTTCTACACTGTGAATATATAGCTTAGGCTGAATCAAGCAAACCCTGTAAGAATTGTGTCCACATACTGTTATTATCTGTCTACTTGAAATTTAAGAGGAATGACCTTACATAATAACATTAATATTTGAAATGTCCATAAAAGTAGCGGTATTGAGTCCTTCTGTCCTGATGTACTTTAGGGAGGAGGTTGTGGAAAGTAATCTTTAGGAGCCTAGGTGATTGCTTTATTCTTCTTAGTTTAACTGCAACTATGTATAGCTTAATCCAGATGAAACAAAACTGTTATAATTCTGTGGCGCTTATTGTTCTGGAACATTCTGCATTGTGTTCTCCAAAAATAATGAATTGCTATCTTATCGTAGGTTTTGATACCTGCTCCATATTGGGTCAGCTACCCTGAGATGGCTAGACTAGCTGGTGCAACGCCAGTTATTCTCCCTACAAGCATATCAGACAATTTCCTCCTAAGGCCAGAGTCACTTGCCTCAGTGATCAATGAAAATTCAAGGATCTTGATTCTCTGCTCTCCATCTAATCCAACAGGGTCTGTGTATCCTAAGGAGTTGCTTGAGGAGATTGCTGCTATAGTCAGAAAGCATCCTAGGCTCCTAGTAAGCACTATGTTCTTATTATATTCAATTCAATTATTTTAGAGTTGGTACCCTTCATCAAAACTCCGACCTTTATTAATGATGTACCATGTTATTATTGTTTCCTTTCCAGGTTTTATCTGATGAGATCTATGAGCATATTATCTATCAACCTGCTAAACACACAAGCTTTGCTTCATTGCCTGGAATGTGGGAAAGAACATTAACTGTGAATGGATTTTCTAAGGTAGTTATCTGGCTGTTATTTTTATTTCTTTTTTTGTGGGTGAATCTAAAGGGCTGTAAGGGTCCTTCTGTAATAGCACATAGGGCCTGATTTTTCAGAAAATAATTTAGTTGGCATATGGAACTTGAATACTTGATAAGTGAAGAAGCAGATTTCATTGTTCATTGCATTACGCTATATTCAAGACCATATGCATGTCCAACTAATTTTTTGAATATCTAAATGATCTATATTCTTATAGGCTTTTGCTATGACTGGTTGGAGACTTGGATACTTAGCTGCCCCTAAACATTTTGTCGCGGCCTGTGGAAAGATCCAAAGCCAGGTGGGCAGTAGTTTAAAATGATATGCAGTTAAATATTAGCTGATTTTATTCTTACCCTCTTTCTCCTCACTCACAATTGCAGGCTATAGCCAATTTTTGGTTGTTTTTGTTCCTTTCTTTGTGACGATGCTAATCTTATAAAATGAAGGATTATCTCACCAAAGAACCTTATTTCCTTATTGTGTTTACATACTGACTTTCAGCATGAGAATATATTTATTTTTATGTTTAGTTCATCAATTCATTGACATACTAACATCATATTGCCAACCATCTCTATTAATTAAAAGGACTGCAACCTCTATCATGCACCTCTCATTGTGAGTGCTGTGTCATTATGACATAATCTTGGGATCTTGTAGAAACTGACTTGAAATTCTTGACTTAGTTATCACACTGAGCCCTGATGCTAGTGCCTTGTTTACTTCAGTACACCTCTGGGGCCAGTAGTATATCACAGAAGGCAGGGCTTGCAGCTTTGAACCTAGGTTATGCTGGTGGTGAAGCAGTATCAACCATGGTCAAAGCATTCCAGGAGCGTCGTGATTACCTTGTAAGAAGCTTTAGAGAGCTGCCAGGAGTAAAGATATCAGAACCTCAGGTATGTTTACAGTACTTATTGAGAATATATAACATGCACCAGGAGAGTATCTAAGCTCTCAAATTTACAGGGCGCCTTCTATTTATTTATCGACTTCAGCTCATACTATGGGTCTGAGGTGGAAGGTTTTGGTACCATCAAGGACTCTGAGTCCCTCTGTTTGTTCCTGTTGGAAAAGGCTCAGGTAAGAAGTTACTTCAATTTTGGGAACATCAGTATAAGATACAAGAACATTACAGTGCTTATTGTTGATTGCATTATAGGTTGCACTTGTCCCTGGGGATGCTTTTGGCGATGACAAGGGTGTTCGCATTTCATATGCTGCAGCAATGTCGACACTGCAAACTGCAATGGGAAAGATAAAAGAAGCGATGGCTCTGCTCAGGCCTCCTATTGCCGTTTAGCCAAAGCAACGTATCGCTAATCAGTTGTGGACCAAAGGCTTCTGCATTGCTCTATCATATTAAATACATTCAATTGACGTAAAATAGGATCCATCTTCTTCCCTTTTTGGAAAAATTGTCTATGCTGTCATTTGGCTTTGGACCTTTGGTTTGTATCCGAAGATTTGGATATACTTGCTATAATATAAATGAACTCTGCAATATTTTTTTTACCTGCAAGAATAGAAATGGAAAACTTGTCTTTATTTTGACAACTTGAAAATACATGGAAGAAACCATGAACATGTTCTGTGAAAGAAGGAAAAGAGGCTATGGGATCCCCCCTGGGGATTACACTAGCACCGGCAAAAAAAAAAAAAAAAAGGGAAACAAGTTTTATCAGGTATTGCCATGCGCTTAAATGGACATCAAGATTTGAATCGAGAACTCCAGGTGAAAAAATTGTATTGCCCCACCTCAACCATCAATCCCCTGGTTAGTGGAGATGCAGTGTAAAGCAGTGCGAAGACTGTCTGGTAAGACAGGTGTCCACTCCTTTTGTGTTTGATGATCAAATCTGGGAGAAGATTCCCATGGTACAGCCTCATTTCAAGTTTTCAAAACCATTCAGGAAGTCCAGCTCAAATGCTTTGTTTCTGCCTTCATTTGTGCTGAGTAACCATAGAGGGTTATAGCAGAGAATACGGACTCAATATGTTAAGCCTGACAAAATGTAGACCTAGAAAGATCAATCGCAACACACCAAAACATCACTTCCGTTTTCAATATTAGATCGAGATTGGAAGTTGGATTCATTCATAATATACATAAAGGTACATCGCAACTTATACATGTTTGAAAATAGGAAAAGATACTCAACATTTATCCTAGCTACACAGGTACGCGACCATATATAACTGCAACAATCCAAATATTGCTCCTGAAAGGTACCATCCCTCTTGAGCATTTCCTCATCAAGTGATTAAGTATTGATATATAGTAACATGGACTTCCAGACGTCTACTATGAAAAAATTTACATCAAATGAAGGAATCTCCTTCCTGATAAGTAGAGCACAAAGTCCAGCTGACAACTGTTGAAGGCTACTCTAATTTGCAACAATTACTTCATCGAAGTTCCAATCTCTAACAAGGTCCCTGGACACAGCACGGCTGCGTTGAAGTCGAGGAGTGCCCTCTGTGCCAACTTGACCACTCACCATGGGAGGAAAGGGGGTCACTTTTGATGTCCCAACACTAGAAGTTCCAGCTGGTGTTACTCTTCGAGCTAAGCAGGCAACAGCAGCTCCACATCGGCTTTCCTCCTCTGAACTTGACACTGAGTAGCTTCGAAGAGAGTGCGAGGGGCTGCTCATGCCATGGCATACAAGACAAGCAAGACTCATGGTTGTTGTCTGGCTGAAACCCCACTGGCTGCTACTGCAATGAATTAAACAATAATTTAACATTTTATCAGAACATATAGGAAATTTATCAGAACATATAGGAAATTCCATGCTGCTGAAGCATATAGAAAAAAGGTGTTGATGTGGCACCAAAGTAGCAACAAATAGATCCCAACACAGCTTTCTGACCGAATTTAAATAATTATAATCTCACACTGCATGGAGTAAACAAACTTCTACCAGCATTGCTGATTCATTCAGTAATAACTGGCAACAACAAACATATGCCATGAGCTATGCCCCTTTTTTCTCATATGTTTAGAATAAAATGGAAAGTCAATAATAACTACCATGCCGCATATAATCATCAATGCCCAACAACCCAATGCATCAGCTCAATCGTGGGGAAGATGGTGGTCCAAATCAGAGTCATTCACAGCTGTGCAGGTTGCAAAATTTGATTGGCAATCAAGATTTATGTTCAGGGCTCAAATTTGCACAACCCAAAAGCACATTTAACACAATAATTTATGCAACTGTGAACCAATATAAAGGAAACGGCATGCATATAAGCATGTACAATCTGTACACGTTGGTAAATACTCCCTCCATTCCAAATTATAAGACATTTTGGCATTTCTAGATACATAGATTTTACACCTTATAATTTGAGATGAGATGGAGGGAGTAGTAATGACAAAGGTTAAATCTTCTTATCGACATTATTCTTCTAGATACATAGATTTTACGCTTTATAAGGGATGGAGGGAGTAGTAATGACAAAGGTTAAATCTTCTTATTGACATTATTCTTCAGTGTTCAGATTTATACACCCAAGAAGCATGTATTACTACAAAATAACATGTGAGGCTAATTAAGGGAATAACAGACCTACTCTGCATTCTGGCAATGACAAGGGCTGAACCCCTGGAGTGTCTTTACCACGCCCAATGAACAAACAGAAATGCTAATGGATGACCGAGTGTTTTAGAGTCCGGTGACACGAATTTCTGGCCATTGGATCTTACGTCGCTCGCATCTCGCCCACACCCCCCAGCTGCATCGCTTCGCAGACCGCACCTGTGCCATCGCCAGACCAAGACAAGCACGCGCCCGCCGCCGCCGTCGCCTCGAAGGAACCCCGCCTGGCCGTTGCTTCCCCGCCGGCCGCTGCTCCCTCCGCCGCCGCCCCAGCCCGGCCGCCTCCCGCAGGGCGGCCGCTGCTCCCTCTGCCGCCTCCCCCAGGTCGCGCCCTGCTCCCTCCTCTTCTTCTTCCTCCTCCTCCTAGATCTGTGTCGACTGGAGCCAAAGACGGCGGCGGCAGTGGCTTGGGTTCCGGCGAGCCTCTCCCCAAATTTTGTCCTTGTCCTTTCATAGAAAAAAAATTGTTTCTTGTTTCTTGCGATTTGTGATTTGTGATTTGTGCCAAGGAGTAACCGGGGGAGAGGCGGCCACGGGTGGCGGAGCGCTCGCCGGGCAGCGGGGGCCGGAGCTGGAGTGGCACTGGAGGTAGAAGAAGAGCTGTAGGCGTTAGATCTTCTTGTACGGTCGAAAAAAAATCATGTGTTGGAACCGGATGAAACAACCGAAAGCCAGGTAGACAGACTCATGAACAAAAGCATGTATGACAATGGATATGTTTAAGAAACAACTTTTTGACCAACAAGAAAAAAAAGGCAGCAAAGCCTATTATAATTTTGAGGAAAGGGAAGTTCCCCTGCAAGATCAGAAGCAAGGACCAACTTCTCATTTCTCAATCCTAGTGGCGGACCCAGTATAGGACATGGATGTATACACATATAAACCCAATATTTTTCGCAAACCCTGAAGCTATCATGCATGTAGTCAGATCCGAACACAAATAGCGCATCTCCAACAGATTACTCAAATCATCCCCAATACCTTAAAAAACAGCAGGTAACTGAGAGGGCTCCAACAGATTAATCATTCAACTCATTCAATTCAATACCCAATACCTAAATTTTCTACTTAGGTATAACCCCCTCTCCCTCAAATGAAGGGGATGCATCCCCTCACCTATAGCGAGTCTCCACCTATAGCCCCCTCTACCTCAAATGGAGGGATGCATCCCCTCCCCTATCTGGCGGTTGGTTGTGGCCGGAGGACATCTCCGGCGGCGAATCGGGGCGGCGAGCTCGCCCACCGCACAGCCGCGACCCGCCCGCGACGTAAGAGAGAGAGAGAGGAAGAGGAGCACCTGTGACGAGCTGGAGGGTCGCTTGGGCGGATCTGGGCGCCGAGCTCCTCGCCGGCGACCTCGCCTACAGACGCTAGCCGGGGAGAACGCGATGCGGTGGACGATTTGGTCAACGTGGACCACCGCCGTGTGCGTCGCGCGGGGCTTGCGGTGGCTACCGCAGAGGAAGGGACGGCGCCGGAGGGAAGAGAGGAGGGTAGGAGGTGGAACGCCGTCGGGCTCGGGCCGAGAAGAGGGGGGAGCTGGAGAGAGAGAGAGAGAGAGAGAGAGAGAGGGGAAGCCCGAGGAGGGGGATATTTAACTTTTTATACCATCCTCACGGACGTGTCAGGTGTTACGTTTTCAAGTAGCAGAGAAAAAAAAAAACGATACACGTTTACCTCTTTTTGCTCGCGTGGCACGTCAGCTCCGTTGTCCAGCTTAGATCCGAGTCAGCATCCTCAGGTAAAATGACCGCCCCTGCCCCTGGCTTCTCCCTCCACCATTACTGACACACGGGTCCCACAAGTCAGATTCTTCTTCAACCTCCGGCCATCACCACATAGTGAGGAAGGAGAGGAGCTCATGCAGTCCATGGTGACACCGCCCGTCTCCACCGAGACGCCAGTGACCCCGATGAGGCCGCGTTCACCGCCGGAGCTAGGGTCACGCCAGACGGAGCTGACCGTGCTCGAGCGGAGCCGGGACGCGTCTGGCTTCATGGAGCGGGGTCACGCGCATGCTGTGGCAGCGCTCACGGGCCCGGTCACGCCTGCCGGAACCACGAGACGCAGCTCCGGTGGCGCACGCATCTCCGCGCGCCGCGCTTGGCGGCGGTCGCGTGAGCGCCGCTAGCGCAAGGTGGAAACGTGATCTTTGGGCGCCACTGAGCCGCTGCTGGTTCAACATGCGCCCATTGCGACTAGCCGGAACCGCGCCGTGGCCACGCTCTCCTGGGTCGCCGACGCGGCGCGTTGGATGGAGGACATCCGGTCGTGGCGGAATACCCGACGACGACCGCGATGGCACACGCCGTGCTGGTCCTCCTCGCGTGGCGCCCGGACCTCGTCGTGCCCACGCTGACGCTCCACGCCGCCGCGGTGTTGTTCGTCGCGCTGTGCGTCTTTGTGGCCATGGTGCTGTACATGGTGCCCATGAAGATGGTGGTCGTGCGGTGATCAACCTCTTCCGGTGGATGCCTCCCATGTCCGAACAAATCATGTACAAGAAGGCAATCGGTGGCAATGGCTAGAGGATGAAGGAGAATCTAACTTGGGGCCCGCGTGTCAGGGGGGGGGTAAAGACGCCAAGAGCAGGGGAGGTCTTTTATCGAGCTGAGCTTTTTATCTCGAGCCGACCGACTCGGATCCGAAATGGACAATGAGTCTGGCGTACACACTGACACAAATGGTAAATGTGTATCTTTTTTCTCTCTCTGCTGCTAAAAGCGTAGCACCAAATCTAAAGCTGCTATTTGAGGACCCGTCATCCGTTATGATGGTAAAAAGTTAAATATCCTCCGAGGAGGGAAGAAAAGGAGAAGAAGAGGAGGAAAGGACCAAAATAATTTAGACATTGACTTGTGGATTTATCAGGAAAAAATTAATTTAGAACTCTTTTGGAATGCAGCAATTCTATCGTTTTAGTTTTTTTTTAAAAAAACTCAGAAAAAAATTATGCATTCCAAAGGGGAGCCTTAGCATGCGTTTGATTAGGAAGTAGAATTTCCTTATTATTAGGAGTCGAAATGGGGAGACCAAATTATAGTGTGTTTGGCCGGAAGAAATGATTCCATTCCTTGCGAGAAGAAGAGGAATCTCCTCCAAAGTCTAATAGTTACTTAGTACTTCTCTTTTTTCAGTTAATAATCAATTTTTAGTGTAACAAGTTAAAATAGATTGTATTTAAACTTTTTCTTAAAAGAAATATTTTTAAAGCAATCTCTATCTCTATACAACTAAAAAGCATTAAAAGCTGACTCTACCCAGTAGACGACGTACGTTGTCATGCTTCGCTTTGCCCTGCTCTGCTCTGGCACTTGCCGGTTCTTCTAGCTCTTATGCACTCGTTTTCCCTTTCCATCTCACGCTGCATCCTTCGGTCCTTCCCCTCTATGCACGCCAATGGTGCCTCACGAATCTCGGTTTTATATCTCCATCCGCCTGACTCGCCTCACACCATTATACAGTTTTTGCTCAACGCTCGCCCTCGATAGCGTGTTAACGTCCACCGACTGCTTGATAGCGTGCACCCCTCAGGCGCTCAAGATCTGCCCTATTTTCTTCCAGGCAAATCCAAGCTGATCCAGAATATATGCCAATTGTGTAAACTTTTTATGTAAAGTTTGGTTCACTGTTATGTACAATTTGTTGGTAGAAAGTAAATAATTATCGATAGAAGCGACGAATGCTTGATGGTAGAAGCAAATAATTATCTGTAGAAGTAACAGACTTTGAATCATATACAAAATGAATTGCGGCCTATATACCTTGTTGACCTGCATCAAGAACATTTTTTATATGATATAGGCATTGACTTCTCGAAAAAAATTACATATTCATATTCATCCATTAATAGTGATTTTTTATACACGTACTGCACGTGCTTGTATACTAATGTCCATATAAAAGAGCGAGCCATTGACCCTCTTACCTATTAGTAGGGATGAAAACGGATCGGATACGAACGGATATCACTCATATTATATTTGTTTTCATATTTCTGTTCGGATTCGGATTCGGACACCGGATTATCCGGATTAATGTACGGAACGAATAATGAGTATCGAATACGGTATGAATCGGATTCGGAGAAGGTCGGATACAAATATCTATTCGGATATTGAGTAAAAAGCATATATATATATATATATATATGATGCATAAACCATTACACCACTCTATGAGTCCATAATCCATCTAGATTAATCCGAAAGATTAAAGAGTAAAGCAACAAATAAGATAAAGATACAGATACATCATACATCAAACATTATACAAGCACCAATCTTCGCGGCATGAGTAGAAATAGCCAAGCTCATGGCTTCATGGGTCTCATGGAGTCATGGTCATGGATTCAAGATCTACAATCCTTATATAGGCCATTTTTTCATTTGAGAAAGTTTGAATAAAATGTAGTTCAAATTTCACAAGTGTGTGACATAGTTTTAGAAAGTCTGTATGACATTCAAGAATTTGTGACTAGTGTTTGATAAAACTTTCTCAAATGGAAAAATGAGATATGTAACAATTGTAGATCTTGCTGAGATGATCAAACTTGGTATTCAGAATTTTTTCATCTGAGGTCATTTAGTGTCTCATTTGAGCAAGTTTGACCAAGTCAAATTTGGTCAAATGAAAAAACAACACTTTGACTCTAGTATTATGAACTCTAAATGACTTCCGATTGAAAAGTTTTGAATACCAAGTTTGTTCAACTCATCAAGATCTACAATTCTTGTTTTGGTCAACTTTCCATTTGAGATAGTTTGGACGGTTCAAATTTATGATTTTTAAATTTCAATGTTTACAAACTAGTTTTCGGAACCCTAGATTGTCTCAAAGTGAAAAGTTTTGAATACCAAATTTGTTCAGCTCATCAAGATATACAATCCTTATATAAGCTATTTTTTCATTTGAGAAAGTTTGAACAAAATGTAGTTCAAATTTCACAAGTGTGTGACATAGTTTTAGAAAGTCTATGAGATTCAAGAATTTGTGACTAGTGTTTGATAAAACTTTCTCAAATCGGAAAATGAGCTATGTAACAATTGTATATCTTGCTGAGATGATCAAACTTGGTATTCAGAGTTTTTTCATCTGAGGTCATTTAGTGTCTCATTTGAGCAAGTTTGACCAAGTCAAATTTGGTCAAATGAAAAAACAACACTTTGACTCTAGTATTATGAACTCTAAATGACTTCAAATTGAAAAGTTTTGAATACCAAGTTTGTTCAACTCATCAAGATCTACAATTCTTGTTTTGGTCAACTTTCCATTTGAGATAGTTTGGATGGTTCAAATTTGTGATTTTTAAATTTCAATGTTTACAAACTAGTTTTCGGAACCCTAGATTGTCTCAAATTGAAAAGTTTTGAATACCAAATTTGTTCATCTCATCAAGATCTACAATCCTTATATAGGCCATTTTTTCATTTGAGAAAGTTTAAACAAAATATAGTTCAAATTTCACAAGTGTGTGACATAGTTTCAAAAAGTCTATATGAGATTCAAGAATTTGTGACTAGTGTTTGATAAAACTTTCTCAAATGGGAAAATGAGCTATGTAACAATTGTAGATCTTGCTGAGATGATCAAACTTGGTATTTAGAGTTTTTTCATCTGAGGTCATTTAGTGTCTCATTTGAGCAAGTTTGACCAAGTCAAATTTGGTCAAATGAAAAAATAACACTTTTGACTCTAGTATTATGAACTCTAAATGACTTCAAATTAAAAAGTTTTGAATACCAAGTTTGTTCAACTCATCAAGATCTACAATTGTTGTTTTGGTCAACTTTCCATTTGAGATAGTTTGGATGGTTCAAATTTGTGATTTTTAAATTTTGACGCCTATAAACTAGTTTTCCATTTGAGAAAGTTTGGACGGTTTAAATTTTGAAGCACTAAATGATTTCAAACGAAAAAGTTGTAAACAACAAAGTTTCATAACTTTTTGAGATCTACAATTTTTATTTTGATCATTTCTCCATCCAAGGTCGTTTGAATAATATCCGGATAATATCCGTTTTTAAATATCCGGATATATCCGATACTTATCCGGATTATCCGATATCCGCCGGATATCGATGATATTACATCCGTATTTGATATCCGCCTAAGATATCCGTTTTAGTATCCGTATCCGAAAAAAATTACGGATATCCGAGTAACTATTCAGATAAGTGTTCATATTTGTTCGGTCGAACGGACGGTCGAATAAATATCCGTACCGTTTTCATCCATACCTATTAGCCCATTTCCATGTAACCTTATTTTGTCGCAAAAGTTAGTATGATACAAAAATCAGTTCTACAAAATTTGTATGAAAATGGCAAAGTCCATATATGTGTGCACTATAGGACACAGGCCATGTTCGCTTTGCTGAAAAACCATGGCTGAAAGTATTGTTCGCTGATTTGTTGTAAGAGAAAAATATTGTTCGTTCGCTGATTTGTTGTAAGAGAAAAATACTGTTCTTTCGCTGAAATAATACGGCTCATAAGACAAGCGAACATGGCCACATTCCATATCAATTTTGCATCTCAACTTTTGCAATTATTGATGTGCCAAGTTTGGGTTTGTTTGCTTTTTGTCTTTACATTATAAGAATGTTTTGTTAGGGTTTTTTTTCACGATTGTACCATGGTGTCCATCGAATATTCCACTAGGGAAAAAATTTGATGTAAAACATCTTCTTGGCGAAATCTTGAAAAAAAATCCCTTAAAAACATTGTTCGAACTTTTGTCGTCTAACTTAAAAATTAGGCAAATTTTGCTATTGGACATGCCAAATGACGCGTCTTTGCTGGCGGACACTGCGTTTTCTATCTTTTGCCGTGAGACACTCTGGCTTTTGGAAATACTGCCAGTGGGCACCGCAACCCAGTTGCACCCGGTTTTGGAGAGAGAAAACTTCGTTTTGGACATCGGGTGCCCCTGAACCAGACTTGGCGCCGTCCCAACCTGGTCTGGTTCGACCCAATTGAACAACCGGCCCACACCCGACTCCGTCGTTAGGGTTCTAGGCGCGCCATTTCCCCAATCCCGCTGCCGCCGCTCACTCCCAATCGCGCCACCACCCACTCGTCTCCACTGCTCGTCGCGCCGCCGTCCACCCAGTGCCTGCCGCCGCTGACAGATCGAGCGTCAGCCGTCATCCGCCATGGGGGGTTGAGGATCTAGAGTTCCCCCGCGCCCCGAAGATGAAGTCCCCCAGCTCGAAGAACGGGCAGTGCCCTAGGTCTCTGCCTAGGGTTCCGTAATTCAAATGGCTAGTGAAAGGGTGAGTCTTTTGAATCCCTACTATTTGCAGATGAATGCCTGCGGATGTGGTAGAATGCTTGCGGTTTTGAAATCGTTTAGTTTGGTTGTTATCCTTTGTGTTGATTTAGGATGGATCCGACTTTCGCGTGTAGACTGGCGATTAGTGTACCTGCAT